TTAAATGATTTCTTTTATTAAATTCAAATTTCTTATATTATTTGTGATTTCTAAATGCTGGTACCTTGATAGAATAAATATTTTGGTATTCAAGATAATATTATCTAAACTTAATTTACTGAACATAAAATAAAATAATAAAATAAATAACTAATTTGTTTGACTTTTAATGTAAACATTTAAATTTAAATTGTACTGTACAATTAAATAAAAAATAATTTAATTTGTAATTAATTCATATTTTATTTATTATTAATACTTAGTTATACACTGTTTTTTATACCTGGGGTAATAATTGAGGAAACAGAAAATGTATTCAAGAAGGTAGCTAATTTAATTGAAAAGAATATATTCTCAAGAACTTCGGTTTAACAATTGTTAATTTTTTTTTTAACAAAAGTATTAACATACACAAAATAATATTTATAAAATATTTCTCAATCAGAGGAATTATTACATTGTAATAATATATAATAACCTAACTTATTTAGGAAATATTATACAGTTTTTAAAATTACACATTGTAGTTTCTCATAAACAACACTATATTTTTATTTACTTTTTTAATAGGAACTTGTTTTGATGGCCAAGATGTGTATCATTACCTTGTGGTTGAATTTCCTTGAACCATGTATTTTCTAATGATATTGTATCCTAAAAAAAAAAAAAAATTATACTAAAAAATTCAGTCATTTTAAGTTCAAAATTGCATTGAATTACTTACATCTAGGAAATGAATGTTCTACGGAGTACATGTTAGGTGAGTCAGAAGAGTTAGATATAGTCTTTCTTTCATCTGCTGAATTGTCAGACCAATCCAYAACATTACTACTTGAAATACAATGAACCATTGGTTGCCTATTTTGTATATCAGATAATGTCGACGATGGAGATAATGCATCCAAATCAGCTGTTACAGAACTTGAAGGCATTTCTGGTTTAGCTGAAGGACTCTGTCCACTAACAGGACTTAAAGTAGTTGTATCAGGTGGACTACCTACATAAGCATTCCGATTTGTAGCAACAATTAGGGCAGGTGTAGATGAAATCTGTAACACTTGTTGTCCAGCAGCAGTTTGTGTAGATACTGAGTGTTTAGCAAATTTAGAATTTTTATCAGAATTTGTTGTAGTAATTATGAAATTCCCTGATGAATTAGTTTTTTCAAGGATGAAATTTCCACAGAGTTGTTTATCTCCAGAAGTTGGACTGGTAATTATAAAACTTTGGSTTTGTTTCTCGGAATTCATATTATTTAAAATAAAATGCGTGCCACCTGACTGCTGCTTATCTTTAGGACTCAGAATAAACCCTTGTTGTTTGTTATCAGCAATAATATAATTTTGACTTTGTTTTTCATTCATAATTAAATTTCCTTGCTCATTGCCTTGTTGTCCAGATACCATGGTCATCTGCTGTTGAACAATAGTTGTATTTTGTTGAACTACAGTGGTATTTTCTTGATTTTGTTGAATAGAACATGGTACTACGTGTATGTAATCATTTTGTTGCTGATTCCTACTCTGGTTTTGTGATTGATTAGGACTCAAGCTAGCTAAAATTGGGCTCAATTGGCCAACACTATTCACGATAAATTGATTACTTTGTTGTGGTCTTTGTTGTGTTTGAGGCGTCCTTAAAACCATTCCAGTAGGCAATAAATTTTGACCAGTATTAGAAAATGGGGTTATAACGTTTAATTGCACTGCGTCTTGTAGTATAGAATTGTCAGCCATAACTACGCCACCTAAATTTGCTGGTACAATGAATTGTTGGATAGCTGGAAGATTATGAACAAGACTAACAGGTTGTATCACATTTGTTATCAGTTGTTGGTTGCCATATTGGGTGGTTTTATTTGGTAGTATTAATGTTTGAACAACAGGCTGATTATAGTTTTGCTGTTGAGGTTGTAACAATACACTAGAATTATTCTGATGATTGGGAGATATTTGAGGTGATTTTCGTTTTTTAGAATTTATAGTTTTACGTTTGGAATCTGGAGGAGATAATAGATTTGAACCTCTAGGTGAAAATGCTCCACTATTATCCATATTTCCTGTAGCAACAGCAAGTTGTGGTACCTGCACTTGATCAACAGTCATAACATTTCCTGGCTGAAGTAGTAAAGTACTTTGACCTCCCTGTAAAGTATTTACAAGGACAGTAGGTTGATGTTGTACTGATGAAAGAACTTGGGATGTATTAGGAGATTGTATTTTAGTTGATGCCATTATAAATTGTCCATTACTTGTCAATAATATATGGCTTGGTTGAATACTTGATTTTTCTGAAGATGTAGGTACTTGTATGCTACTTACAACACTTTGTACCATTTCTAAAGGTGTTTTGGATGTGATTGATTGTTGTTGAGTAGGTGGTAATACTTGGTCTTCAGATGTGTTCACTGTTACCACAGATGTATTGGTTCTACCAGCCTGCACTGAAGTAATTGTATTTGAACTAGCTGTTCGACCACTAGCCATTGTTGTAACATTTGTTGTATATCTAGGTTTTTCTTGCYTGTATGGTCTTGCAGGAGGAGATAATGGTGAAAATGAATTGGTACTTATAGTATTATTCAGTAGAGCTGTCTGCTGTGCTAAATAGCCGCTTGGATCATCTAAAAATGATGGGTAACTGTCCTCTTCAGACGGAGACTTTGATTTTCTACCAAAATTAACAGTTTTAGTATATTGTTTAAGTGGTATTCGACTTTTTTCTTCTACTCTGGAAACTTGGGGAACATGATGATGTATGGGAGGTACTCGATCCTCAACTATTTGTTTAGAACTTTCTTGTTGCGATGTTTGTTGTTGCAGTACATATTGTTGTTGCTGTATTTGATGATGTTGCATTTGTTGTTGCTGTAATTGTTGTTGCGGTGTTTGTTGTTGCTGTATTTGTTGATGCTGCATTTGTTGTTGCTGTACTTGTTGTTGAGGTATTTGTTGTTGCTGTATTTGTTGATGTTTATTGAGTTGCCAGGGAGGTGTTGATCTATGTTGAGGTCTTGGTGGTTTTGTAATTGATTGTTGTATATTTTGTGTATTATTTTGTTGTTGTACTTGTTTAACTTGTGGTCTTATTTGTGGGACCTCAACGGGACTTTGGTTATTATTTGCAACACAAGCATTATTTTTTAAATTACAATCCATATGATGATGGCACTGTGACTGAGATTGTGGCTCATATTCATATTGTGATGGATATTCTTGTGTTGGATTATTTCTATTGTCCGGATAAGATTCTGTATAATTATTTTGATCTTGGTACACATCTGGATAATATTCATGATTCCTAGATTCATTCTGTCGTATAGGCTGTGACTGTGACTGTGGTTGATGTTGATATGAGTTTATTTGGTTACCATAACTAGGATTTTGATCACTTGAATTACAATAGTGTCCACAATGACTAGAACAATTGAAACGACAACTCCCTTGAGTTCTTGGACTATCATAATTATTATATTGCATTTGTTCTGTTTGGTACATACTATGTGTATGTTTTTCATAATATTCTTGTGATGCCATTTCATTTTGATATGGTTGGTGAAGTGGTTGACATGAAGAGTCCGGTTGTAATGCAGTTGTTTCATGAGATCTACATTGAGGGGAGTTATATCGATAACTGTTTCGATATGATTGTTCATATTCTAGGTCTTGCTGGTATGAATGATTTGGGAAGTGAGGAACTCTTGGATTTCCCAAACCCATYGATGTGGATTGGGTATTTGGTATCATTGTTCCTTGAGGATTAGACATTACATTTTCTTGGGAATTTGGCATTACAGTTCCTTGAAGATTTGACATCATTGCACTTTGAGAATTAGGCATAATTGGTCCTTGAGTGTTTGACATCACAGATGAACTTTGGTTTAATATTGGTAGGGTTTGAGAGTTTGGTATCACATGCTGCATACCTTGTGACATTAATTCTGGTCCTTGAGTATTTAACATAGGTTGTGGGGATAGAGAATTTAACATAACAGATGTTCCTTGAGACGAAAATCTTGTTTGACTAGGAACAGCAGATTGATCTGGCCATTGCATCTATAAAAATATAAATATTACATTACTAACATATTTTTAAAWGGTTATACATCGAATTTTTAATAAAGTCTCACTTGATGAGAATTTGAAACTTGTGAGTAGTTTTCTTTTCCGATTTTTTCACCTTCATAAGGAGGAAATGAATATTGTTGTTGCACACCAGAA